CTGCCCCGGCCCGTGCCCACGCCGCTGGCGGCCCGGCGACGCCCGGGTCGGTACCTTGCGGACCCCCTTGTAGATATAGAAGTAGAGCTCCCGGCCCACATTGAAGCAGAGGCGGTCGCCGTTGCCAGACTGGTCGTTGAGGTTTACGAAGGAGACGCGGACGGGGTTGGACCCCTGCGAGTTGAAGGGCACCCGGTTGGGCCGGCTGTACTCCGAGTGCGGCAGCAGCTTGTACAGACCTTCCCGGGTGGTGAACTGGGTCTTAATCTCGTTCATCTCCTTCCCTCCTCCCTCCGTCGCCATCTTGGAAAGCAGCGTTCATCCTGCCCCGAGTGCCCGGATCACGCCCAGCGCGCAAGCGCCGACCCGAGCTCCCGCGCTGCCCCCGCCTCTTCCTGCGCGCCCCTCCCACCCGCGGGCCGGCCCAGCCGCGGGGAGGGGGCGGGCTTGTTTACGGCGCCACTGCGCAGGCGTGCTCACCTGGAGCGCGTGTCGAGGGGCGGGGCGAGGCTTGGCCCCGCCCCGAGCACCGGGCAGGTGAGCCGGCGGCCGGGCCCGCGCGGTTCGCGGGGACCAACTCTGCTGGGCTTGGGAGCGCGGGCGCGGCCGCTACCCTCGGGCCGAGTCAGCGCGCGGACGCCGGCGCGGAGACCGGGGCGGGCGGGCGCGCTGCACCTCCCGGGGTCAGCTCCGGAAGGTTCCCAAGGGCCTGGCCTCCACGCCTGGCGCGGCGGGGACGCGCACCCAGCGCTGCTCTGCGCAGCCTGCCGCCGCGTGTGAGCCTGGCCAGGCTTGGGGAAGTGGGTGTGTGGCCTGCAGTTTCCTAAGCTGGTCTTCGCCAGGCGAGTAGAGAAAAGGGGGTGGTGAGAGGCGGCGCGGGTGAGGCGGCTGCCCCGGCTGGGCGGAGCCCCTCTTACGCTCCGCAGCTCGGGCTCTCACTCGGGCTCTCGGCAGGCTGGCGCCGCGTCGGGGGAGTCCGCAGAGTCCCACCTGGGCAGTGTGCACGTGCTGACCAGGGTCTGCAGGTGGGGGGCGGGTGTGTGGGCAGGGACCGACAAGCCTCACTTTCTGCCTGGGTTTATGGGCACGAGCGCTAGAATAAGATGACCGGAACATGCCGATAGAATTTCTGGAATGGAAGAAGTCACTTTGGTCACACCAACAATGAAAGTTCCTTTAGGACATCCTTCTCCTTAACTTCTACACTGAAAATATGTGTTCATTGTGACCGCCTAGAGGGGGACTGACATCTGAGTCACCTGAGAATAATTCAGCTGTGTTCCCTAGTTAGAGAGAGGAAGGGAGAAGACACATAATAGTTTTTGAAGAAAAGCATCTCAGCGAGCAAAAATTAAAACAAGAAGTGTATGGGCACTCAACCACGGCTGGGATTACCACGGTACTGGGAGAATGCCACGAGCACTCCCCGAGGCTTTCCTGTGTGCACCCAGCATTTTCGCTCTCCTCATCCGTTTGCCTCAGCCAAAGTCTTTGGCATTTTTCTATTAATACTTTTTGTCATTTTCTCCCCACGCTCAGAGACTCAGTAAACTACACCCACGTCTGTATAACTGGACCTCACTCACGTTTATTCATGATTTTCAGTGTCAAACCAGACATTTCTTGATGGGTGCGTATCTCAACGTCATCCTCTCTTAACGTTAGTTCTCAGTCCACTTCTTTAATCTGAATCACTATTTTTTCATATTTCCTTAACTGTCCCTTTTCTCTCAACTTTGCTCCAATAAACAATTACAAAACTACTTTTTTTTTAAAAGATTTATTTATTCATACAGAACTGAGGTACAGGCCAGAGATGCGGAGGGTGAGAGGATTCACCAGGGACAGAGTGGGGAGCAGAACAAGCAGATCGATGAAGTCCACTGCTGAGGGGAGCAGCGGGCGGGTCAGGAGAGGTCTGCCGCGCCATGTGGTCACCTCCGGTGCAGGCGGGGATCAAACTCATGCGGAAGTGGCTTTTAGCTTCTTAGTGCTGTGCTTTAACCCGCTGCGCCACCAGGGAGGGCCCCAAAACTACTTTTTTTTAAAAAAATATTTATTTTTGTCTATGCAAGAGCTGGGGTATAGGCCAGAGGTGCAGGGGGCGGGGGTGGTGGTGAGAGGACTCCACAGAGACAGAGTGGGGAGCAGAACAGGCAGACCCACTGCTGAGGGGAGCAGCAGGGAGACAGGAGGTGTCTGCTGCGCCCTGTGGGTCACTCCCTGACCGGGGATTGAACTCACGCTGCAGTGACCAGTGGTAGCTTGGCAGTGCTGACTTTAACCCCTGCACCACCAGGGAGGCCCCAAATTAGTTTTCTTAAGGCCACTTTCGCCACATGCTCTTGCTGAAGCTTCTGGCTTGCAGTGCCCACTCTGGGTCATGCACCAAGCAGTTCCCAGCCTGTTTCCTGTCACAGAACCCCCCTGCTCCTGCCCTTCCTGTCTTTCCTTCTCTCCATTCCCCTTTGTAACCTATTCTTCAAGAGCAAGTGTAAGTCCCATCTTCAACAAGCCTTTCCCACACCCTGGGAAAACCACACTGAAACCAGGAATTCTAATGCAGGGATGATTTGAACTCCTGGAATTGCATTCAAAGTTTGTGTACATTGAAATAAAATATTCTCCTTTTTCAACCTAGTATATGGAGGTTTCAAACTAGTAATATTTAGTTGATTACTAAGAAAGACTAACAATTCAAGTGAAATAAGCATGAACACTTCAAACGTTTAACTCAACAATAAAAGAAGCTACAGCATGGGAGCTCATAGTCAGAAATCACATATCTGCTGGGTCTGACCAGTGGGTCTGCTGGTCCTACACGTCCTGTTTGGAACCATTTTCGTTACTTGCGCTTCTGAGTTCCTATACCGGGTCAGAAGTGCCCTGTCAATCAGACCTACAAGGTGCCTTTCATATCCATCAAGAGCAGAAAGCTGGGTGCCCTGGGAATAGCATGCCTCACATGGTGTGATGGCTGGGACCCCAGAAGTTCGCCGGTGGATGCCTTGTTGATAAGACTGAAACCAAGGCTGGGGTCTAGGGCTTGATCTCAACTTCAGTACAGAGTCGCGGAACAGATGAGCAGGGCAGACTCGCAATCCTGATGCTACAGATGACAGCACATTCTCTAGCTTCTTTTTTTCTCTCTGCCCCTTACAAGTAATGCCGTATAATTGTTCTAGGAGTAAAAGGCAAGGATCTTGCTCTTTCAGTGGCAGCCTGCATTGTGTGGCCTGCTCACGACTGTGTTTACCAGTGTGGTGTTGCCAACTGCTGACAGCAGTATCTGATGAGGTGCTTATGTCTGGAATAAATAACTACAACTCAAGAAGTATGACCTAGTTTGACAAAGATTCCTAGTTTGAATAGAGATTTCTCCAAAGAAGCTACACAAATGGCCAATAAGCACAGGAACACAGCATCTTTGCATTTGAAATGCAAATCAAACTACAGTGAGATACACTTCATATCCACTAGAAAAGCTATTATCAAAAAGACAGATAATAGAGTTGTTGAGGTTTAAAAAGTGAACTCCTCACCAAATGTGTCCTCCCTGGTGGCACAGCCAATTGGAGCACTGCCCTGGGAAGCCAAGCAGAGCCCTGACCGCTTCAGTGCAAGTTCCATCCCCGCCCCAGAGGTGACCACATGGCGCAGCAGACCTCTTCTGCCTCACCTGCTTCTCCCCTCAGCAGAGAATTTGTCAATCTGCCTACTCTGCTTCACACTCTCGCTGCCCCTGCACCTCTGGCCTGTAGCCCATTTCGGTATGCATAAATAAAATCTTTTTTTAAAAAAAGAGAGACCCTCCCTCAAGTCCTGCCGGTAGGAAAGTACTATGTTGCAGCCACTTTGGAACAGAGTGTGGTAGTTCCTCAAAAGTGTAAGCAGTTTCAGTAGCATCGCTGAAGATACAGCACCCAACACAATGATAGTGAAGGCAAGGATAAATAGATGGGACTACATCAAGTTAAAGAGCTTCTGTACAGCAAAAGAGACATAACAAAAAAGAAAAAAAAAAACAGACACCCCACTGGTTGGGGAAAATTTTCTCACACAAAACTAGCGGTAAAGGATTGATCACAAAGATATACAAAGAACTGATGAAACTCAATAAAAACAAAGCAAACAGGCCCATCAAAAAATGGGCAGAAGAGCTAAAGACACTTCTCCAAAGAGGAAATGCTGATGGCCAACAAGCATATGAAAAATGTTCAACATCACTTGTAATAAGGGAGATGCAAATCAAAACCACAATGAGATACCACCTCACCCCAGTGAGAATGGCACACCTTAAAATAACTAGCAACATTCTTCACTAGAATGTGAAGAAAAAGGAACTCTTCTGCACTGCTGGTGGGAATGCAAACTAGTACAACCACTATGGAAAACTGTTTGGAGGTTCCTCAAACTGCTAAACATGGAGCTTCCCTACGACCCAGCAATCCCACTCCTAGGGATCCACCCAAAAGACACAAAAACAGTGATTCAAAAAGATACCTGCACCCCGACTTTTATTGCTGCTTTATTTACAATTGGAAAGACATGGAAACAGCCCAAATGTCAAACGTGGATGACTGGATTAAAAAGATGTGGTCCATATACACAATGGAATATTACTCAGCAAACAAAAAAAAACGTGCTTTTTGCAGCAACATGGATGGAGCTGGAAAAGATCATGCTTAGTGACATAAGCCAGAAAGAAAAGGAAAAAAACCAGATGGTTTCATTCATAGCAGGAGTATAAAGGACCAGGGGAGAAAATAATAATGAATAACTATTTACCAGAGACATTTTACGGGGGTGGAGTGGGGAATGGGATCAGTGGGGGGAGGGAAGTGCACTGGGCTGTGGTGATGGCACATGGGTGATATGGTGATGGGAAGCCCACGGGGATTGCAACTGAGATGGAAAAACATACAAAATGATGTAAAAATGGACTATCACATTATTTTATTTAAAAAAGTGTAAGCAGTTACCCTGTGACCCAGAAATTTCACTCTTAGATGTTTGCCCAAGAGAAGTTAAAAACACGTCCACACAGAAACTTGTGCCTGAATGTTCATGTCATAAACAATGACCGTTCGTGGATGAAAATGCTACCTATCTCTACAATGGAATATTACTCAGCCATCAAAATGCAGCCCTGATACACTCTCTACAACATGGAAGAGCCTTGAAAGCAACATGCCAGGTAGGAGAAGACGAGATAGGAGGTCACACAGTACGATTCCGTTTGAATGAAATGTCGAGAGGAGGCAAGTCTATAGTGACAGAAAATAAGTCAGTGGTTGCCTTGAGATGGAGGGGGGTGGGGAGAGGAGTGACTGTTCCTTCTAAAGTGTCATAGATGTTCTCCT